CACGGTGTACACCTGGGGAAGGGAGGAAAAAATGTAAAATTGAATTGAAAAATAGAAAATCAGCACAAAAAATCCAAAATCAGCACAAAAAACCCGAAATCAGCACAAAAAACCACAAAAATCAGCCAAAAAACCCCCCAAAATTAACCAAAATCAGCAAAAAAATCCCCCAAAATCAACCAAAAAAACCCCAAAAAACCAAAAATCAGCCCTAAAAAATCCCCAAAATCAACCCCAAAAACCCCAAAATCAGCCCCAAAAAACGCCCAAATCAGCCCCAAAAAACCCCAAAATCTGCCCTAAAAAAATCCCAAAATCAGCCCTAAAAAACCACCAAATCAGCCCCAAAAAACCTCAAAACTCAGCCTGTGTACACCTGGGAAAGATAAGAAAAAAAAAAAATCCAAAATTTAACCAAAAAAACCCCCAAAATCAGCCTCCAAAAAACCCCAAAAATCAACCCCAAAAAAACCCCAAAATCAGCCCTAAAAAACCCCGAAATCAGCCCTAAAAAACCCCAAAATCAGCCCAAAAAAACCCCAAAATCAGCCCAAAAATCCCAAAATCAGCCCTAAAAAAATCCCAAATCAACCCAAAAATCCCAAAATAAACCCAAAAAAACCCCAAATAAACCAGGAACCCCCCAAAACCCCCAAACCAATCAAGAACCCCCAAAAAACCCCCAAAAAACCCCAAAAATTAACCCCAAAAACTCCAAACCCCCCCCTCCTCAAACCTTGTAGAAATTAAAGACGAGGTCGAGCTCGCAGACGTTGTGGAAATACTCATTGAGAACCTGGGCACAAACCAATTAACACCAATTAACCACCCTGGGAGGGGCTTAATGAAGGTCTGGAGGGGCTGATTAATTAAGGAATTAATTAATTAACGAGCTGCTCACCTCCACGAAGTTGTGGATGGCCTCCAGGTAGGCCAGGTTGTTGTCGGTGACGTCGACGCAGATGCAGAAATAGAGGCCGGCGTAGCGACGGTAAATGATCTTAAAATTACGGAACTGGGGGGAAATGGGACACACTGGGATGGACTGGGATGGACTGGGATGGACTG